GCAGCTGTTTTTCTAAAATTTTCTTTACTGTGCATCACGGTGCTAAGCTATAGATTATACTCACACTATAATTCAAGTCTATTGTAAAACAATTGCACTCTTCCAGTATTTGCTATGTTTGTTATGATATTGAGATCCTATTTCTTTTTTGCCAGTTTATCCCTCTGGATGACACAATGGTTCATGCACATAGGGAGATCTCAGACTCACCAGAAGCTTAGCCCTGTTTTATTGATCCCCCCTGGTTTACTTCAAACAACAGTAAAGCAGAATTTCCTAGCAAAGAAATCAATAAGGCTTTAGATTAAGGTTCCCATAAAACATTTAATAGATTATATACTAATGATTTATCGTATATTAATTATAAATTAATAAGGGTAACAGTTTGGCATCTGATTTAGCACACTGTACTTAGGTATATGAAGTCCATATCTGAAGTAGCCCTCCGCTCTCCTCTTTCAATGGATCTGTTGAGAAAGACTTCAGAAACATACAACATTCTGCTGCTGTTTGGATATTATATCCTATAGCTCAACAAATGGCATCTGTTGCTTGTAGCATCTTACAGTAACTAAGCGCTTGGCAGTTACTGTCTCATGAGGTGCAGGAAAAGGTCAGTAGGAAAAGCAGAGATAAATTTACTAACATATACGAGGATAACAGTACCCTGGATTAACCCTTAGAACACTAGTATTTTACAGACGTCCAGACAATCAAATTCATGCTTAAGATGTTTGCATGTGCATATATCCAAAACACCCAAAGGACACCAGCCTGTTACTTGAAAGGTTCACGTCTAGATTATATCCTGCTCCCTTTAGATACCACAACACAAATTCAACCTGTCATACATTTGCAGTATTTTGTCAAACCTGACAGCATTAACATGGAGTACTGGTTGGGGAATCACAATTACTCAGTTTCTGTTCCCTGCTTTGCCACTGATTTGGTGTGTGACCAAGGCCAACTCATTTCACTTCCCATTGACTTCAGTGAGATTTAGGGGCTATTGCAGGAAAGGGGGGCTATACTTAGAAGTCAGTTTGTAAAGTGATTGGGATCTTTCTGCATGATAAACACTACATAAGCTCAAGTAATTAAGGTTCTATCTTGGAATCATTTAAATTACAAGTTACTCATAACTAAACACTTTCAATTTATACCTCAGATTCTGGCCTATCCTTTAAGAACCTACATCATACCACAAAATCTTTCCAAATCAGAATCCTGTATACCTATTATCTGTTAATTAACAACCTCTCTATGTGTTAAGATGGTGTTACAGATATTTTGCCAGCACTTTCAGTTGTTCTATGAAGTGATTTGCACATGGCTTAGACCGTTCTTCAATCTTCTAAATCCTATGGACATACCAGTACATATCATATATTCAGCGCAAATGTCTACAATGTTGAGGTTGTGACTTGAATTGCACATATGTAAGGAAATTCAGAGCTAAAATTTTCAAAGCAAGTTTGACTATGGTTCTTTGTGCATGCATATGTACTGTTTCAAAAGCGTCTTTCATTACATGATCATACAGCACAGGGCTATGTGGTATACTAGTTGTCTAATAAAGCAATAAAACAGAAAACAATTGCTATTTTTCTAAACAAGCTCTTCCGCAAAGAATGTATAAAAAAGTTTGATTCATGTTTAAACTGCACCTTTTCTATAACCTTAGATGAACATAGGTAGCAAACATTAATGTTTGTAAAGCACTTTGAAGATGAAGAGTGCTACACCAGTACTAAAGATGGTTATTCTTAACATTTTTATTACTGCATATTTATTATTTATTGCACATATTGTGCCCCATTACTAGTGTCATTACTTCTTTTGTTAGAAGTGAATCTCTTTAAAAGACTTTGAACTGAAAAACCAAGATTTGCCTGTCCACAGTAATTAATGGAAAAATCAAGCATAAAGGTGATTTAATCAATAAAATAAACCAAAATGATACATAAAATTATAATTGTACCTGCCACTCTGGCTTCACTTTTTGGGTTTATGATGTCAATAGGAGACTGCCTGCCTGCCTAGATTTAGAGTCTTGTTATTTTTAGTTGGTTGACCATTACTCCTCATTTAATACTTACTTAGCACTTTTATAGCATTTAACATTTTGAAATGCTTTACAAACATAATATTATCAGCTAGAATAATGATAAATTACACTTCATATCCACTTAGTGCCATTCTACCAAAGACTCCGAGGGCCAGGATTTCACCCTAGCATTCCTGACTACCAATTCTGTACTCTAATGCTAAATAATAATTCCCTCTTTTGAGATCTGATGTTTGAAAAAAACACTTTGTAGGAAGAAGTGTAGATGATGGAATATCCTAGCAAGATTATCTGTGGAAGTTCCAGCTCTGTAGATATTCAAAAAGAGGATAAATAGGAACACAATATTCCGCATGGATAATTCCATACATGACAGATGCTGGGGCACTAGAAGGGCAGCAGGTAGACTACAGTCTGCTAGATCTAGGCTTCACTCTTGAACCTGGGTTTCTCATACTGACACAGAAATACATTTTGAAAGGAAAAAAAATCCAATTCCACTTTAGTTAAAAAGGAAAAGAAACAAGGCATAGAAATCATATACATATGTCTAGCTATTAAGACTTCAGCCTTTTTTCTAATTACTTCTTTAAAGAGTGGATTTTGATAAGTTTTCATATCTTATAAGTAGATGGCACCATATAAAGAAATAGAATACTTGTATCTAATATACACATGCATACTTATGGAAAAATTGTGAGCTATTGGCAATATTTCTAATTGAATCCAAATGTAGTTACATTAATTAAAATCTTAATCAAAATCAGCAAATTAAGAAAGTATTCATTATGGGCTCAATCCCGACTGATTACACTGACAACAGTAGAAGCTCAGGGTACTCAGCACCTCACAGGATAAAGTCCTATAAATAGTGCTGCTGAAGATTGATTGACAGATTTTTCTCATATACAAGTGCTCTCAGTTACATTAGTGTATCCTGAGCAAAGTAAAAAAATAGCATAGACTATTCCAAAACAGATTATTCTATAGCCTACTTCTTCTTTCTGTAAACATGGAAGTTACTGGGGTAGACAATACAAAACTGCATATTCTGAATCAGTCCTTGCATTTCACTCCAACTACACTTTAAATAAAACATTTAACTACAGTTAAAAACAATTGCAGTGAATAAAAAGATGAAGGTTTATCTAAACTCCATCTGTCTATACTGAGCTGCCATGTGACACACCCTGATTTTTCAGCAGAGTAGGGACTAATCACATGAGGAATGGGGAATCCATTGCATCTCTAAGCAAAGGTACTTTGCCTTTGAGCATACAGACACAGTGCTTCCTGCTGCTTAAACCACAAAGTAGTATCAACCTTTGGGTTAGAATGGCAGTTCTCAACCAGGGGTCCGAGGCCCCCTGGGAGGCCTGTGAGCAGGTTTCAGGGGGGTCCTCCAAGCAGGAAGACTTTAGACTCATTGGGGCCCAGGCAGAAAGCCAAAAGCCACATTGCCTTGTGGCCCGCCATCCGGGACTAAAGCTGAAGCCTGAGCAGTTTAGCTTTGCAGGGCCCCTTAATGCAAACCCTGGCTTTTATATGCAGAAAACAATTGTTGTGGCACAGGTGGGCCATGGAGTTTTTATAGCATGTTGGGGGGTCTCAGAAAGAAAAAGGTTGAGAACCCCTGGATTAGAAGATGCATACTTGCCCTCAAGGATGCCAAAGAGACACTAAAATACCTCTGAGAATTAAAGAGGGTAAACAGGAGAATAAAATAGTTGTTAAGCCTGGGATTACTGCTAAAGCCCAGCTCCAGGTAAATCAAGGTAATCTCAACTCGTGAAAAAGGTTTATTGTATTCCCATTGACTTCAGACAAATCTTCTGTTCATATTTCCATGTTGAGGTGCTCATATCACAAAAGTTTGCATAAATGTCAGCTATTAATATTTTCACAGAGTTTGTGGTTTTTGTGGAATTCTGTCATAGAAGTTTACGAAATATCTCTAGCGTTATATCATTTTCCTCATTAGTTACACATGCAAAACAACATGTATTTAGCTTAAAAAAATAAAACCAAATAGGAATTAGTCTTGATGAGGTATAGCAATAACAACAGACACAAGCTTAAAATAAAATTTTGGTCTCATGCACAAAGCCCAGCTGAAAGTACTTTGCACAAAGGACCTAAGCAGCAGTTTAGGGAACAGAAACCTCCCCCTTCATCCTGCAGCCCCCGGACTCTGGTCAAAATATGAGTCCCACCGATCACACTTGCAATTCCCCCTAGGGACACACACAATTCCTGCTGGCCAGTAAAGAAGACAATCACAGAGCAATAGTCTGCAGTGCAGTCCCTCTGCATGTGCCCTTTACAGTATGCTCCCCCACACAATAGAAATGTAGTGTTTCAGCTACATTTGGGGCCTTGCTCCAGTGAAAGTGGAATTGCCATGATCTGGCCCATAGTGATTATAGTAAATTCATCTTGTTTGAGGTCCATTTTAAAACTCCCTGAACTGAGAGAATCACTGGCTGGCAAATGAACATTCTACAAGGAGCAAACGAGTCCTCTTGATCCTCAGAAATGCGAATCCTAGCACTATAGCCTCTTGAACCTTCAATGCCTTTCTGGACAAAAACCACCTGGTTTTCTCACAATAATGGCATAAATAACAACCTTTCTGTTCCAAGGGGTTTGATTATCATAATACAATTTTATTCTTGGGAGACTGAAAATCTTTAGTACCTCTTGCTAGCTCAGTGATGTTACTTTATTATTTAACCAGATACTTTCAATAACAATTTTGAGTTACCTGTTAGATGTTCATGTTGAAAGCCCCTAAAAGTATTCCTTGGCAAGTTTGATATCAACATTAAAATTGCCTGTTAAGTTATTTTCTGTTTTTCTCTCCAAAGGGAAACAATTTTAGAAATGAAAACCCTTAGATAGCACCCAGAGATGAAGAAAGGAGAAGTCCTACCTCTACTACTGATTTGGAATCCAGTCGAAAGTTGAAATCTCCAAACACAAAATATGAAACCTTCTCAAACCGCTGATCTCTAATTCTGAAAAGGCAGACAAAAATACATTAACTGCTGTCTAGTCAGCTTTCTATGTAAAAACAAAAAAGCCCTTTACAAAAAAATCCCTGGAATTGTGATTGCAAAATGTTAAAATATATTGCAATGAAAGCTATGTATTCACAATCACATTTAACATTTAAGCACAGCATTAGCAAAATTATTCGTGGAACAGTCAACAACAGCATTAATTTATTTGGAATAAAACTTCACTATATAGTAACAACTTGTTTGGTTTATACTGTTATAAGCATGCAGATGACATGTAGTTCTGTTTCTTTTTACTCAAATCAAGATGCGTATGGTTTATTTGCTTTCTCTGGTTAAAACAGGGGCTTGTATGTGAGTAACCTGGCTGCAGTTCAGTCCAGACAAGTGAAGAGGTGCTTGCTCAGAGGCCAGGGAAAGCATCCTGAGAAGATGGTAGAGATAGTGACTAACTCCAGTGGGAGTTGTGGGTGCTCAGCACCTCTGAAAATCAGCTCCTAAGTGTTTCAAGCTGGACTCTTAAAAATTGTGACACCCAAAATTAATGGACACTTTTAAAAATATCTGCCTCAAACTCTGTTGCTTCAGTTTAACATCTGTAAAATGGAGGTCCATAATGTTTCCCCATGTTTATTCAGCACCTTGAGATCTATGGATGAAAAGTGCTATACAAGTGCTAAGTATTATTTGTTACTATTTGGCCTGATATTGATCTATGAAGTCCTATGTAGCCTGGGTTATGGCTCACTGAGAAAGCTCCTCTCTGTGTACCATTATCACAGTCGAGACACATGAGCTAAAAATCCTTAGAATTGCATGTCTGCAGGAAGATGTTCTCACTGGAAGGCCTTGGACTCTGGAATTGGCTATCACCAAGACAGTTGACATTCAGGATATGGTATAAAGCTTACATCTTTTCTCAGGCTTTTGATCAGAGTTGAGAGCTGAGTGAGGGGTGGCTCTTTGTTTATTTTTTTCAGTGATTATTTTAAAACTTAGGTCAGCGCTAATTATTTAATACTTTTAAAAATTGTACATGCTTCTAGAGACCTTGGTATTGGCCAAATCTTTCAAAGTGGAATAAAATCAAGTAAACCAGTCATTGAATCAGCACCTCATTTTGGGAACAGAGACCAACTAATCAATCTCCTATTATCAACTGGTGAAGACATGAAGTAATTGACCAAAATATTATGACTACAATTAGAAAAAAAATCACTAGACAAAAAGCACAAAATACTTCTATACCATATTAGGAGCACAGTGCACAACAAAGAAACAATAAATCTAAGGCACTCTGGAAGTAAATAAATACATAAGCATGATGATGCCAGAAATCCCAACTGAGCTGGAGGTAAGGGCCCACATGGATAGCTAAAGAATTATAAAGAAACCTACAGTAAGTGGCCTTCTGGAGCTATAATGCCCAGAAAGGAGACATTTGTTTAAAATGGCTTTAAACATTTTAATAAATTACCCCCATTTGGACATTTCAAAGCTATAAAGTAAGAAAACACCTGGGTCTTTAAATGAGATACTGCTTTGCTTGTAAAGTATCCCTCCACATTTTTACCCAATGGCAATCTATTACATAAACAATATTATTTCACTGAAAAATTCATGCACACTGAACCTATGACAGTGATTATTTGAAGAAAATTCTCCTGCAAAGAGCTATCCTTTTCTGCTAAGAAAATCTCGAAGCCCTCCATTCAATTGACAAATTATTGCAGGTACTATTAATAAATACTATCCACTGTCAACTGCAACCAACCATTAAGAAAAGCCTGTCAGTTTTGACCTATACATAACATTAGTTTGATTAGTCCCCTCATGGCACTTTAAGGGAAAATGAGAACTTAAAAGTTAAACCATTTACATTACCACAATTTGCTCACACTATCATTGCAAAATCTGATATACGATTTGTACACAAGAAAAGCTCCGTCTGCTTTGCCAACTTTCCTGATTCATATCCCAGTTTTGGCTTTGCTCGGTGCCATTTACTGCTGACAAAAAGCTGAGAGATATCTCTGGAATGACATCAAGGTCTAAAGAAGTCCTCTTAAAACAAACTGATATTATGAAGATGAAATCTGTAATTGTATTATGCAAAGACGATTTTTTCAAATAAACACATTGTGCCAAAAAACTCCCACTTAGAACTTTTGATAACGAAATTAATTAGAAAAATCTCAATCAGTTACTGAGGAACAAAATAGCAGATTGCCAATGCTGAAAATTCATTAATTAATATATTTAATAACTACATATCAATTTAGGGAATCAAAATTTTACTAGTTTGGTCTAGTTTAGTCTAGTTTGGTCTTTTGTGCATGTGCACACAATTGTTGCACACCACTTTTTGCATGCCTCCAATCTTACGGTGCTTTGCAGGTTGACTGTTACTAACATGTCCCTGTTAGTAACTGGTGTGCCCTCCATCCCCTTGTGTCAAATGTCCAGAATGATGCTTCCCTCCTTTAAAAAGTGGTGCAGAGCCATATTTTGCCCATTTGCTCCTGGATCCCAGTTTATCATTATTCTGGCAATACAATCACAACTGCACACCAGAAGCCCCAGGACATGCCTTCTGCAACTGCTTGAAGCCACGCTGAGACCCTGGATCTCATCACCATCTGGGGAGAAGCGTTGGTTCAGGAAGCTCTTGCGGCCAGCCACAAGAATAAGGACCTTTTTGTGGACATTCCAAAGCAGATGTCTGCGAAGGGTCACTACTGGGACACTGACCAGTGCTGGATAAAGAATAAGCAGCTCAGGAGAAAGTACACTGAAACAAGGGATAAAAGGAGACAATCGAGTAGAGGATATGGGACCTGTCAATTTTTTGATTAACTGGACAGGATTTTACATAATTACAGTTCAACCAGAGGATAGCCAGCTAGACCCACTGGAGGCTGACCAGGAGGATGCCTGAAAGGAGCTGCCCCGAGAGCTAGGATCCATTTGGGACCCAGGAACCTGACGATGGCCAGCTGGAAAGCCAGCCCCTGTCCGGCCCTATTACTACTGACCTCAATTCCTGCCCTGCATCGGTTGAACACAAGTCCCAGCCAGAAACCCAGGCCAGAACTGAAGAATCTGTTCCCCTGGAGGGAACTTTGGCATATAATTACCTATATTTACAATATATTGTATATTATTATTGTTGGTGGAGGCGAACTAGGAGCTCCCACCTCCCTCCTAACTCAGTCCTTTTGCTGCTTCCAAGTGGCAGCTGCAGTCTGTGCCTCTTCCCCCACCCTTCCTCCCGCAACAAATTTGAATAACTGAAGCATTCATTTGTGCAATATTCAACATTTATTGAGACAGGACTTAGAGGAAAAGAAATGTGGTTGGTTTTTGTAGTTTACATGAGATATGAGTACACACTGCATGCCCTGGCAAGGCACAAACTATATTGCTCTCGGCTGAGGTACAAAAGCCCCGTAATGCGCATTGGAGCTGATAATCATGGTAGGATCCTATTTGTTTTTCTCTGTACTTTCTCCAAAGTCTGCAGGGGAGATATAGCAGGACCTAAGACTAAGAAATAGCTGTTTTGTTTTACATGTTACAGGGAATGGCTGGATGCCCTATGCCGCTGGTACAGCTTGCAAACCCCTTCTACTTCTACAGTGGTTCTGGGGGGACCATAACTTCACAGAGTATCAAGCTGGTCTACCCTTTACCTTTTTGAATAAGACCTTTCTCTGCTTCCTAGTCTCCCATCTCAGTACAGCAGAACCTCAAAGATACGAACACTAGAGTTATGGACTGACCGGTCAACCAGACACCATGTGAAACTGGAAGTAACCAAGCAGGCAGCAGCAGAGACAGAGAGAGTTGATCTGGATACCTGCTGTGTCCACTAGGCCAGACCACCTAAATCCTGGTTTCTAACACAAACAGGCAAATTCCCACATGACTACCATTCTATGAATACTCAGACCATAGTTAAAATATTCCTTCCCTCTGTCAAAGTGGCCTGTCTATGGCTTCATTAGCTAAGCAACAGGGGATAAGCCACGTCTTCCAGAATAACTGGACCAACCTCCACACCATTAATGTCCACAGTGCAAACAGTCCGTTCGCCATTAATTTAAAAAGTACTGAGTTCTGAAAGATCCTGCCATCATGGACCCTCCTAGACCATGCTGCATTTGTGTCCGTAAACCTGCCATGGTGGTCCACCAGTCCTTGGAGCACCATTGAAAAATACCCCTTTCTGTTTATAAATTCTATGCCCTGGCTGGGGGAGAAGGCTAGGGGAAGGGAAAGAGGGTAAATGATAGGCACCTGAATTCCCTCATTTGTCCCAATACAGTTTGGGAATTCCATGCAATGCAAAGCTATCAACAATCTCCTGAGTATTACCAGCTTCATGATCTAGTTAGACAGCAACTTGTGAATAGCATAACAGACCTATATGAGAATGGCCCAAACAGCTGATCTCCCCAAAATTGGCTACAGACTGGAAACATTCTGGGGTGCCCAGTTTCCAGATGGCAATGGTGACTGTTTCTCCACGGCGATGGCGGACTGTATTGTTCGTATGTTGTCGTTGCAGTTTTGTTGTCAGTTATGCACAGATCTCAGAAAAGGTAGCCCTCCCCATCCTGAAGTTCTCGCGCTGCTGCTGGTTATTCCAGCTCTGCAGAACGAGCTACTCCCACCAATCCACCCTGATATCCCGGGCTCAGAAATGGCACTGAAAACTATGTAGGTGATCTGGGAACAGCTTGGTGTCCTCCTGTTCTTCTGCCTTATCCTGATGCCACCACTGCAGAGTATCTTCCTGCTCCTACATCATCTGGTTGGTGTGAAAGTCCAATGTCAAATTCATCTGGGTCTGAGGGCTATAATACAGCCCAAGCAGCCCATAGAATCATAG